GACTATTGCTCATTTAGTTTTATCACACATCTTTTACATATTCTAGCAGGACGCCGTTTAACATTTGCATTTTCCATCTTTTGCTGAAGAAGGCAACAGCAGTGGCCGAAACGTCCGATAACCATATTTTTAGCCAGTGACAACCATTTAATTCCTTTTTACCAATTTTTAACATGCCTGGCTACACACCGAACATTTTTAAACTCAATTGTTTTAATTTGTAGATTGTACAGGATTTTGTAGTGCAATTGGTGGTAAAATTATTATCTCTGTCAATAGTCAATTAGCAGCAATTTCCATTTACAGTTACAATTTATTTGATTTCTGTCAATATCGGTACATTTAACACTACATACATGTAATGTGCTTTTATTTTTGATTCAAATATATTTTCTGTCTCAGGAATATGAATTTCAGGTTAGATGGCCCACAGTTAAACTTCTTACAGTGTTGCTGACAAATAAAAGGTATCATTAGATAGTTTCATGTACTGTTAAAGCAATTACAAATAATAATCATATTTGTTTCACTTCCACGCTTGAGATGTACCTAACTTAAGACATTCATGCAAATGTACATTAACCTTGAATGCAAGCAACAAATTTCAGAGAAAGTGAAACTTTGTACAAGTTTCTCTATCAAGGATACACTTACCGGTAAGGACTTAAGGACTTAAGGACTTACATCAACATATATTTCATAGTTCCAGTTATTAAAATACTGTACCTATTGACAGTGTGTAGCGAAAAACAATGTGTGTGGTTTGTAAAGTGCCTTGACCAACCCAAGTCATCCTTTCTTTTAGTTATCAGCTCCAGCAGTGCATTTTAGTGAGTCCCATGGGTAAGCACAGTCATGCTTAATATTTTCAATATTTATATCTTTGAGCCTTGTAAGCACAGTTTATTTTGTACTATATACTTTAACATCACTTATAACGAAGACACCCTGATTTTACAGGTCTATATAAATCATGAATCTTAGTGTAAAATAACTTAACCCCGGTAATTATACTATACAGTGTATGTGTGTATATAAACGGCTTGTGTTCTTGTTTCCAGTGTGATGATGAATCACAGACAATATGTTTTTGCTTATTGTATGTATACTGTAGGTGTATCCAGACTAATGGACTTGCTGTCTGACAGTAGAGAAATCATCAGAAATGAGGTACATGTACACACATGTTTGGTTTGAAGTTTATACATATATGTGTATGCATAGATATCTAAAGTGACCTTTTTTCTCCAGGGTCTTTTATTGTTGATTCAACTTACCAAGTCAAATGCAGCAATACAGGTAAACATTAAGTACAATGTAAACAGTGGTGAATAGTACATATGTGTACTTGTTACAGTTCACCATACATGCTTTATTCTTTGTCATTAATTTAAACTATTATTTTCAATTGGTCTGTTATGTATTTGTTTATCATGGTCACATGTTGTTTTGTATTTTCTCTAGAAAATTGTTGCCTTTGAGAATGCATTTGATAGGCTTCTTGAAATCATCACAGAAGAAGGCTACAGTGATGGGGGTATGTGTTGTGATCATATTAACCTGATAGTCATGCAGTGGTAATACATATTACATTAGTATAAATCTGTTAGCATTCTATCACAAATGCTGTTCTCTGATTGGCTACGCTACTCACTATCTATTCTGTAATATATAGTGAGTAGCGAAGTTAACAAAATTACGGCCGCTTCTTGGCGTCTTCGAAGTGTCCGTGAAGAGGATGTAGGTAAAGTTTTGAACGACTAGTAGATTTATACTAAAACAATTAGATTATTCACTCTCGATTTCTATCGCATGATAGTTGACTCAGGCTGCGCCCTCGTCAACTATCACGCGATAGAAATCTCGAGCTCGACATAATCTAATTGCTTGATATAATTACAATGTTTAGCTGGAAGTTGACGTATGTTTGTTTTGTTGTTGTTGCATGTAACTATGTTTCTTGTTTATTTATTTACTCAAATGTTGCCTGCATTAACATGTAATTTATTTGTTTGGTTATTATAATTGTTCCTTTGGGTTTTTTTAATTTTTTTTTTTTTTTCTTTATATGATAACATGATTTAAATTTTTTGATAAGTAATTTGTTTTCTCTCAGGTATTGTGGTAGAAGACTGTCTGTTACTGATGCAAAATCTGTTGAAATTAAATGTTTCAAACCAAAATTTCTTTAGAGAAGGAAGGTATTTGTAGTGTTTCTCTCTTTGTTATTTGTTTAGAGAGTAAAATCTAGCTTGAAGAACATGTACATGAACAGTTTATTAGCGTGACTCATAATTAACATTATTTTTCACTCTCCCACTCTGGATGATTATAAATAAAGCTTAAACTATTTTACTCTTTTACAGTTATGTTCAAAGACTTACTCCTTTTTTTGAGCTGGAACAAGTTCCTGTACCAGAAACTACTGGTAAGTGTCACATATTAACAGTAAACTTTGTGTTCACCCTGGAATATTCTCATGTAAAGGCTGTGAAGACTAAATAGCACACATCCAACGTACCAGTATAAATAATTATTTGAGCTGTGAAGCCCATTCGGTACACCCAGACTTCTGATCAAGTGGTTTTTCAGGAAATTCTAATCATGTTTTAATGTTTGTTTATTTATTTTTGGCAGATAATCAAGATAATTCATGGTCCACTCAAAAAGTATCAAATATCAAGCTTATGTTACAGGTATAATGCCAAGTAATTGAGTAGAAATAAATTATGTAAAATTTGATATAATTTACAAGTACATTGTTTTTAAATAATAAACAGAGTACAAGGAATAGATACACATTTGGTTTTGCTGTTTGGTCTTTAGCTTGTCAGAGTGTTAGTGTCACCAGATAATCCACAGCAAGCCACAACAAACTGTCAGAAAATAATGAATCAGTGTGGTAAGTAATATATCTTGACTATTCCAAGTAATAAACTCCAAATTATCTTGCCAATTAGAATGGAAAGCTCACAAGAAACAGCGGTGATGACAGAATGATTGCCCCCAGAATATTCTTCTGTGATTACGTAATCCGTACCTTTGTACGTCTGAGCTGTTATTTTGTGTGATAAGACTCTCCTGATGTTTAGTCTGTTACTGTTACATGTAAAATCTTTTCTACAGCTTGCCCAACTCTTTCACCAGTATGTATAAAAGCACAACTAATTGTTCTTGTTTACTTTTTAGGATTGTTACGATTACTTTGTAGTATACTCATGTCAACTGGAATTCCTGCAGACATTCTCACAGAGGTACCGTATATTTTAATTTTATTAGTAGTGCTTTGTAAACGTTGTTGTACCTTTCCGTCATGAATACCAAGCTTGTCAATTGTTTCAAAAAGAATATTTAATCAATAAATGTTATGATTAACTTTCAGACCATCAACACTGTATCTGAAGTGATAAGAGGATTCCCGGCAAATCAAGAATATTTTTCTCAAGTGAATGCTCCATCCAACCCTCCCAGGTAAGATACAGCATCTATGTATTTGTATGCATTGCTGACCTATGAAGTTAGATAATAGTTTCTTCAAATGTTCTGTAGGTCCTCTGTCTACTGGGGACCTAAACCCCAGAATTGTGATCTATTTCTTTGCATATATTGCAGTCCAGCAATGTTAGATAATAATTACAATTTGTAATAACAATAAAATTGCTTGTACATGTAATGTTTCTTCTCCATTTGTTACCTGCCTGATATTACTGACTTTCCTGACATTGCATACATTGTAAGCCTATGTTTTGTTGTCAGCTAGGAATTATTTCTGAGAACTGTTTTCTGTTTTTCAGTCCTGCAATTGTGGTTCTTCTAATGTCTATGATTAATGACAAGCAGCCCTTCAGTCTCCGCTGTGCTGTCTTGTATTGTTTCCAGGTAAGAGGCACTGGGTTAATCAAAATTGTCTAGCTTCTGGTCTGCTCCACCATTCATCCTGTGCAGTTATTTTATGAGACTACTCCTGACTGCTGACACAACTGAAACAGTTTAAATGTACTTTAAATGATTTTTTTATGATTAAAGTCATTTTCATTGTACAAGACAACTCTTTCACCCCTGTAGGCATAATTTAAATCTTTAAGTCTCTGTTTCATTTCATTTAAACAGTGTTATCTTTACAAGAATGAGCAAGGCCAGAATGAGATTGTAACAACCTTACTTCCCTCTTCAGCATCTGCAGGTAAGTGAAAACACCAGCTGCATTCACAACTGCATTTGGTACAATTTATTCTTTTGTTGTTAAAGTTTTTTTATGCTTGGTTTTTAGCTACCAACATCTCGGCAGGACAGTTACTCTGTGCTGGTTTGTTCAGGTAACGGCATCTTCATGTACATGTGAATACTGTTATTAGCCTCAAATATATGATGCTGAATAGTAGAACTTGAAACAAAGATGTAATGCATTGTCAAGTTTGTCCATGGTACTGTAAGTCATTTCTCAACACATCTTCTTTCCCTGTCATTGTTAATTCCTCTTCACTTGTTAGTGGATGGGTTCCTGTTGTTTGTCTAAGTACTGTTCCACAAAATCAACCTAAAGTTGTTGGTATTCTTATGATTTTGGTTTGTTTTTGATCTTCTGGAAGTGCATTGATATTGGGCTGAACAATGTTTTGCTCCTCAGCCCAGACCCACTCTCCAACTGGTGTGCAGCAGTAGCTTTGTCTCACTGCCTGAAGGGGAACCCAACACAGAAGGAACAGCTTCTTAGAGTACAACTAGCTACTAGTGTTGGTGAGTTTACAAATTCTCTAGACTGTTTTTCATACATTGACTGTTTAACAAACCGAATGTGGTTTAGCGTTGTCTGTACTTGTATTGACAATGAGTACGTGTCATCACAGTGGTCAAAATGTTGTGGGCTCACTCCACAACGAATTTTGACTACTGTGATGACGCGTATCATCGTCGATAAGAGTACAGACAACGCTAAACCACATTCAACTTTTTACCACAATATCATCTAATAAAGAAAATGTTTTTTTCAAGCGCACAAGCTGAAAAAGTCATTGCATGACACGCTGATGTGAGCAGCGTTGTCTGAACTCTTATTGACAATGGCAAATTAGCCAATCATATTGCAAGATTAGTAGCAATTGTTGTAAAACATATTAATGGGGAAAAAAGTCAAGACTATTTTCCTGAGAAAGCCATTGAGAATGAAACGGTAATGATGTCGCTTACTGTTTTCTGTAAGGACTGTTTAGCGTTTGGGAACTTTGTCTGCTGATTGGACTGCGAGCAGTCTCTCTTTTCCTCGGAAATCCGTGGGGAAGAACGCAAACAAGTAGTGTGCGAGCGTGACTGTGAGCGTGACATGCTAACGGCAATGCCTTCCGACGCCTGCGCTACTAGCAGCTTGGGGCATCGCCGCTAGCAGGTCACGCTCACAGTCACTCTCGTTTTGCGTTCTTCCCCACAGTTTTCGAGGAAAAGAGAGACTGTTCGCAGTCTATCTGCTGATCTGCTCAAAAGAACTCCTTTAATTTATATTTTGCAGGAAATCCTCCTGTTTCATTGTTGCAACAGTGTACGAACATGCTTTCACAGGTTTGTAGGAGTATTTGAACACTGTTTTACATGTAATGTAGGTTCCCACTTACAGTCATCCTCAGCAGGGTTTAACTACAACCCTGTACAGTCAGTAGTCTTGTTGAAGTGATGTTTTCAGATCAGGCATGACAAGAGTTCGTTTGTTTGATGTAACTTCATGTAACTGTGATTTATTGCGTGCTAGTCTTCTGCGATTTTGAAGATTATTTGAAAGTTTAGTTGGAGATTGATGTGTTGTTTGCTTGCTGGGTTGCAGGGAGGCGAGATTCAGACAAGAGTTGGCTTGTTATTGTTGCTGTGCTCGTGGTTATCCAGTTGTTCACTGGCCGTAGCTCATTTTCTTCACAATTCTGCCAATATTCCATATGTATCCTTTAATATATACATGTATAATGGGATAACCTTCAGAACACTGATAGTCTCACCTCTTTACTTCTAAAGCCATCTGGTAGCTACATGTGCATGTGCACGTTGCTGTTTTGAGTTTGCTTCACTTTATTAATTTAAGTTGCTGTTTATTAGTTTGCGTTACTGTTGAGTTTGCACTTCTGGAGCTTTTATTCCTGAACTGTTGTTAGCTGATGGCTCAAGTTGAAGCTCACGGCGAGGAGGCTGACAGACTGGTGGGCGCGCTCTGTGCTCTCCTGTTAGGAATTTGTTTAGACAATAATGACAACTCAGTGGCTACATGTCAGAAGTGAGTCTGTTCTTTAGTTTGGCTTTAATCCCCTTCTCTCGTCACAACTGATCAATACATCTGTACATGATGTACTTGTACATATCTGTATTCGTCCCCTCTGTAACAAAGTGTATCGGAAACCTGCACTCCACAAAGTAGACGAGCCATAGTTAATGTACACTGTGCTTCAACTTATGCAAGGAGACCGTTAAAAGACTGCATTTCTAGTTTGTCAATCGGCAGTTATTAGAATATAGTGATAAAGCAGTAAAGCACACAAAGTCGGCGTCGTAACTGAGGCAAAAGAAACAAGTACTACATCACTCTATCTTATCTCATTCACATTTAAACTTTTTTTCCTGTAGTATATTGGTCGATCCTTACTTTTCATTGACACAACTGCAAAGATTTACGTTCCATTTTGTTTCCTTTGTTTGTACAGAGACGATCTTCGTAATTTGATAATCAAGAGAATAGGAACTGACAATCTTCTGGACAAGATCAGTTTTATTTCCAAATCAGAATTCTTCACTGCAGCTGTGAAATCACCTGAGGTAAAAAATGTACTTTTTGTCGTGTTTCCCTCATTTCACAATTTATTTTCTATAATTTGACTCCAATTAGATATCCTCATTGATTTGTGTTAATTGTTGTCTCTAAATTCATTGATTTTTTTTTCACCGCAGATCAAAGTTGAATCTGAGAAACATGTCCTTTTTGACCATGAATTTACCAAACTGTTCAAAAAGTTGGAAGGTTTGTTTGTGTACAGTCAGATGTAAATCACAAAAAGACATATAATTATACATCGTTCAGTGCAAAACATGGCCACCCTTAACTATAATCATGAAGTGACTATTCCTCGAAGGTGAGATGCTGGAGTGGTTACCTTCTAGCATTTTGTCAAGCTGTTCTAGTACTTCGTGGTTACTCAGGCATAATACTCCGTAGAAAAAGGTCATGTGAGGGAAGAATGTACTTTCTTTCCCAAGAACAAGTGTAAAATGACGAGGATTAAATCTCCTTTGTACAACAAAGCCGTTACAATGTAGTTCCTAGTTCCTCTCTCACCTCACAAAACTAAACCCACTGGTAATAATGGAAAACTTCATGTGTGAGTAAACTAAACGTCTGTCGGTTAATTTTCTTTTAAGCTGCTGTTACGAAAGCTATCGAAGAAGAACCTTCACTACAGCAAATGACGAACCATGTAAACGGGAAATCGCCTCAAGGATTGGAAAACCATGACTCCATTGTGTCATCGTACAAAGAACTTATCAGAGAACAGGTCAATATACTGGCATTATTTCTTTCAAGTAAACAGCCAAGGGATAGTGTTGATTCGCCACGAAAATCTGTAACATTAACCTCAAGTGGAGATTTTCAATTTCGGCCAGAATTAAAGTGCCGTTGGGTTTTCTTTCTTTTTTTGTTGTTGTATCCCTGGCCATTTTCACATCTAGACTGGGTCATCTGAAGTCCAACGTATCAACTATTAATATCAGGCCAAGCATTGCAGAAAATTATGTCAGCAAATCTTCCTTACTTCCTCATGAAATCAAGAACAAATGCAATTTATGGAGTTAGTGTCACGAACACGGCAGTCCACTCTAATGTTAGTTTTCTTCATTTTAGGATGAAGAAATCGGCAAACTTAAATCAAGATACAGTGATATGGAATCCTCTTATAATCAGGTGAAATAAACGGTTACTTACTTCAGCGTTTAAAGTTTTGTATTGAAGTTCGTGAGAACTGCCTCGAGTTTGCCCTTTCTCATGATCATGTTGCTAAAATATGTACCTAACCTGAGCCCTTTGAGATCCATATGTTCAGGTGGATTTTATTATTGGTCCTATTCTCCAAGGGGCGTGGCATTGGGGCTTGTTATTGGACGGAATTTACGTCTTGAAGAAGTGGTAGTGCAAATTAGAATACCTCGATGTAAATTCCCTGAGCATAGATTAAGACACATCACAAGCTTTGAAATTAATTATCAACTGAAGTCTAGACCATGATGAACACTCTTTAACATACTACACGATATGACAAACTGTACAAGTTCTGCAGTAGTGGCGTATTACCAGGGAGCTGATGTCATGAAGATGATAGTCTTCTCGGCGGAGAGTTCTGTGTGTTAGACTTGCGTGGTTCAACATCACAGACCTGACTTTGGTATTTTTGTTCTTTCCAACAGGCTCAAGTCCAAATTCAGCAGCAGTCTCAAGAAATTCAACAACTTCGTGAACAACTTGTTGCTGTACAGAGTTAGTAGCTCTTTGTTTGCCAGTTACTTGATAAATTCTATCTTGTTAGTCCAGTTTATGTAGTTGTGTTGGTTTAGCTCATCCAAAAGTTAAGTATTGTTTATATAATCTCTCTATTTCGCTTCCGTCATTGTCCGCAGATTATCAAGCTCAGACAGGAGTGGCTGAGTCATTCTTCACTGAAGGCGAGGAACTAACGAATCTAAAAAAACAAGTGAGCGATCTTGAGCAGAGCCGAGATTCACTGCAGGAGCAGGTCAGGACTAAAGATGAAAAGATTGAAAAGTTGGTAAGTACAGTCCTGAGATCGCAANGCAGTCCACTCTAATGTTAGTTTTCTTCATTTTAGGATGAAGAAATCGGCAAACTTAAATCAAGATACAGTGATATGGAATCCTCTTATAATCAGGTGAAATAAACGGTTACTTACTTCAGCGTTTAAAGTTTTGTATTGAAGTTCGTGAGAACTGCCTCGAGTTTGCCCTTTCTCATGATCATGTTGCTAAAATATGTACCTAACCTGAGCCCTTTGAGATCCATATGTTCAGGTGGATTTTATTATTGGTCCTATTCTCCAAGGGGCGTGGCATTGGGGCTTGTTATTGGACGGAATTTACGTCTTGAAGAAGTGGTAGTGCAAATTAGAATACCTCGATGTAAATTCCCTGAGCATAGATTAAGACACATCACAAGCTTTGAAATTAATTATCAACTGAAGTCTAGACCATGATGAACACTCTTTAACATACTACACGATATGACAAACTGTACAAGTTCTGCAGTAGTGGCGTATTACCAGGGAGCTGATGTCATGAAGATGATAGTCTTCTCGGCGGAGAGTTCTGTGTGTTAGACTTGCGTGGTTCAACATCACAGACCTGACTTTAGTATTTTTGTTCTTTTCAACAGGCTCAAGTCCAAATTCAGCAGCAGTCTCAAGAAATTCAACAACTTCGTGAACAACTTGTTGCTGTACAGAGTTAGTAGCTCTTTGTTTGCCAGTTACTTGATAAATTCTATCTTGTTAGTCCAGTTTATGTAGTTGTGTTGGTTTAGCTCATCCAAAAGTTAAGTATTGTTTATATAATCTCTCTATTTCGCTTCCGTCATTGTCCGCAGATTATCAAGCTCAGACAGGAGTGGCTGAGTCATTCTTCACTGAAGGCGAGGAACTAACGAATCTAAAAAAACAAGTGAGCGATCTTGAGCAGAGCCGAGATTCACTGCAGGAGCAGGTCAGGACTAAAGATGAAAAGATTGAAAAGTTGGTAAGTACAGTCCTGAGATCGCAAAATGATTTCTCCTTATTCATCAGTAAGAGTAGAGACGGATAAAATTTTAATTTATGCAAGCTTTCAAGTTCCACTTTCAGCTGTCAAACTGTCAACTTTTT